TTGAAGAAAAGTCCTAAAAACCCTTGAGGTTGAAGATGAAGAAATGGACTTGGATTTTGATGGCAGGAGAAAAGGGGAATTGTATGCTTTGAGATAAGTAGTCCTGGAGTTGGTGGTGATCCTGAATGGAGATGACTCCTACTCTTCTGGGAAAGGAATGGTGAATATCCATTGCCAAGAGTTGAGTTTATCTTGCCAAAGATGCCTGCAATGCAGTCAGCAGTAGGTGAGCCATAGTTTCCTTCTGTAGAGAGTGGAGATCCAGCCATTGTTACCAGGGATCATGAGAGAGCAGTATGAGGGAAAAGTAAGAAAGATTCCTCACCTGAATGCTTGGGATGACAAGAGATGCACAGGGGATGACAAGTGAGCTGGAACATGAACATAAGGGAGATTGTTGATAGGTGGGTGAGTCATTGTATTAAAACTTAGACCAGCTCCAGTACCTAAAAGGGGGTCTACAAGAAACCTGGAGAGGGGCTTTGGACAAGGGCCTGTAGGGACAGGACAAGGGGAATGGCTTTAACCTGCCGGAGGGGAGATTGAGATGAGCTCTGAGGCAGAAGCTCTTCCCTGTGAGGGTGCTGAGGCGCTGGCACAGGGTGCCCAGAGAAGCTGTGGCTGCCCCATCCCTGGCAGCGTTCAAGGCCAGGTTGGACACAGGGATTAAGTTTTTTGGGGGGTGCTATTTTTCTGTAGAGAGTGAAAACTTAGACCAGCTCCAGTACCTAAAAGGGGGTCTACAAGAAACCTGGAGAGGGGCTTTGGACAAGGGCCTGTAGGGACAGGACAAGAGGAATGGCTTTAACCTGCCAGAGGGGAGATTGAGATGAGCTCTTGGGCAGAAGCTCTTCCTTGTGAGGGTGCTGAGGCACAGGGTGCCCAGAGAAGCTGTGGCTGCGCCATCCCTGGCAGTGTTCAAGGCCAGGTTGGACACAGGGACTTGGGTCAACCTGCTCTAGTGGAAGGTGTCCCTGCCCGTGGCAGGGTTTGGAAGTGGATGAGCTTTAAGGTCCTTTACAACCCAAACCATTCTATGAGTGTACGATTCATGGATGTTTTAACTGTTCCCATGTAAGATGCCTACCATTCAGAGTAGACCAGGCTCATTTTCTTTTGGAAAACAGAAAACACTTTCATGAGACTTGGGCTCATAATTCTGGCCATAAACAGTAACAGAGAGTGAAACTGTAAAAAATAAGATTAGAAGAAAACCCATGCAAAATTACAACATTGTAAAAGATTCTTACATGCTTCATCCCCAGGAGAGGATGACAACTCCGAGTATCTGGTCAGTGGAAAAAAATCTCCACAAAATCATAGTTGTATGTGTATGAAGCACCATAAAGGAACCAAACTAATTAGTTCAGGGCTAAGAAGACATAGCCTCAGAGAGGTTTCATCGTCCTCTTCAGAAGAATTCTCCTGGTGGCTTTCACTGGGAACTCACTCAGGTATAGCTATGACGAGAGCCATAACACATATGTGAGAGAAAAGGAGGGAAAGGCTTCTCATATTTCTAAGACTTCATTATTTCAGCAACCTACAGCAAAACACATTTGCAGGCGTTCTATGAGGAGTTATAAATAAAGAAAATGAAACTAACATCGACCCAATGAGTACAGTCCATTTCATGCAGTGTTTTCACTTACTTGACAACTGGCAAAGTTTAGTGATTTGAGGTGTGAATCACTGCTGATACAAGTAATTGGCAAGGGTGGAGGATGTTATTGTAAGAGACTGATTTGAAAGCATTTAAGGAATAGAATGAAGCTACATGCACAAAATGAATCACGAAGAGTCCGCTTTCAAATGCGTTGCCCTGGTACAGATTAAACTGGATTTTAGTTCCTCTGGAATCTGAACCAGCTCCCCTTAGAGTCAGGGAAAGGCTTCATTTATTATATACCAAAGACAAAAGGGATGGAATTGTGCCCTTCCTTGGTACAGTTGTTGGCAGTGGATGTTTTTATATCCCCTACATCATGTGAAAACTGTGCTTTTCCAACCTAGGTGATGTCCATTGCAGAGAAAGGGTGAAGAGAAACTGCCTCTGCTGGAAAATGCCCAGGATAACTCTTTTTTTAAGCATCCTTCTGCTTGGATCCCCTCCAAGGTCTCCTCTGAGCAGGCTGATATTTTGCCCTCTAAATACAAACCTGACCAGGCACCCAAAGCTTGACACAGGTTGCAAAAAGAGTATCACATCTGAATTTAAACCCAGAGCCTAGTCCGAGCTCGGAGGTTTTATGCAGTACATCACCCAATGAAATTGCCTTTTCCCCTCCCTGTTTCAATTAGAAAGAACATTAGGTCAATCAGATAAAGCCACATTGGGAGGATTTCCTCTTTATGGCGCTTGCCTCTTCAATTATCTATAATGAACTTCCTCACAGCACTGCAAAGCTTTTTATATGCAAACGAATCCTGTTTTGGGGCTGCCGCAATCACTGCTTGTTAATGAACTTGAAACAAGTGTTATCGGAAAGGTTACAGCACCAGTGGTGGAGGGAGACAGGATAAAGCTAGACAAGAAAGACCAGGCTGAAGAGCAGGGATTGGCCTGCAGGTAACATAGTGAACTATCTCCAAACCCCATCCTCCAGCCCCGTTCAGAGGCTTTTCGATGTGACAGGCATCAAGCAAAATGCCCACTCTTGGGAAATGTCTGCTCAGCAGCAGATAGGGTTTTCCCATCCTCCTGTCCCATTGATTCCCTGTGCCAATGCATTTCTCTCTCAACTCCTATAGCTGGGAAGAAAGAAAAATGAGGTGATGTTGCCAAGGTCTTTTCTTATGCCAAGAGAAAGAGGGGGAGCTGATTGAGAGACCCCAGGATGTGTCGGGCAGCTGAAGGGGAAGGGTCACGGTGGTGTTGAAGCCATGCAGTCCCAAATGGTATTTATACATGGTATCTGCTGGTGTTATCAGAACTGGAAACTCTCACCCGTGTTTTAACATAGCCTATATCACCTCCTTTCCCTGCCCTTTGTATTTTTACATGTCTAAGTCACCCAGGGTTAGATTAGGCCTCACTTTCTCATGCTGAGTAGCTACTTAACCCCCCATCTAATCCTAACACTGGTGTGCCTTCGTAGGGTACGACCATAGAATCCAAGGATAGAAAGGGTTTCTAGAGTGTCAAGCTTTGCCCTTTTGTCAAGACAAACACTTCTGTGAGACTTTAACCATTGTATTTCAGCATTAGTAATTCTCTGGGGACAGTTTGTGACAGGACAAGAAAACAGCAAAAACAGGGAGAGTTGGAACAGGGTGTAGCTCCTTAAGCACTCTTGGGGGTCCAATATAGTCTCTTTTCACACTGTGTCTTGTGCATGATGAGGCGTAGAGCAACATCCACCGCTCAACTATCTGGAGCCTCTTCCCATGTTACTGCTTGTTGAAGTGCTGCTCAGCACCAGGATGCCCAAGACTGCAGAGAATCACAGCAGTGAAGCTCATCACTGCATTGCAGTACCACATGGGCTTGCTACTTCCAATCCTTACACCATCCAACTGGGAGACTGGGGAAGGCTTCTGGACTTCACTGCAGCTCTGTGCTGCTTGGTTACTGGATTTTCTTCCTGCCCCTGGCCATGGATCAGCTCACACCCGCAGTGTGACGATTGATGGCTCTTGTAATTCTATTCCTGGTTGGCGTAACTGCAGATGTTACACGTCTAATCCATTTCTTTATCTTCCTAAGCTATTTGCTTCAGTAAGATGCTTCCACCATCTGCTCTAACACGCTCCCGGGCTCTCATAAGCCATAAATTCCACTTTTGAACCTTTCAGTCCCTTTTCCTACTTTCCAGCTTTGGATCAGTCATTTTTCTCCTGCTGTCCCTTACCCACACCTGCAGATTAAGCTTGCATCTGTTTATGTAAGTTCCCTGTCTCTGGACCCAGCTTTAACACTGGGAAGGACAGTGCGAAATGGTGTTGTTCTGTGGACTGGGCAGGGTGGCTGCACCATCATGATAGCATGTGCTCTATGGATAGCAGACAGCATGCCCAATACAGTACAGAGAAGAAAAAGAGGGGACAGGCTTCCTTTTAGCATGTAGATGTTGGATAGCCATCCAACAGACACTCACAAGAGAGCAAGATGGCATGGTCTGTGCTTATAGCATGCTTTTGTAGCTTGTCGCAGTGGGGTTTTTAAAGGATCCCATTTTATATCAAACCACCTTGGATTAGCCAGGCAAATGCTGCAGTCATTTCCTAAAGAGTTGATGGCCTCCTGGAATACATGTATTTGACAGCTCACAGTTGTCTGATTGTGCTGTGAAGAAGCAGTGCACTGCTACTCTGTGCAAATTAATGACACTTTGAATACAGCCTTCTGCATTGCAACTTTGGGTACTCAGAACCTCACCCTGTGAGGCACTGGATTAGCAACACACACTCAGCATTGCTCCTTTAGTGATATGATGGCAAGCCTTTCCATGGGATATCTACATGCTGTGTAACAGTTGTTTCCTGGGAGCTGGATCCATCTGTAATAAATACTCTGTCCCCTTCTAAGCCAAAACAAACTCTCTTTTTAACAGCCCAGCCTCTGTCTTGCTGGAACTGTGCCTCCAAGCAAGGAATTACGCTCAGATTTGTGCTTTATTCACTTCTCATGTCATGATATTGCAACTGGGCTAAGTTCCTGGAGGGAACGTGATTGCTTTCCCACTACCTGATTAATGGAACAGTATTAAAAAGCACCAGAGGTAGCTTCCTTGGGTCCTGAAGGCTGAAAGTCTGTAGGTCAAACAAGGGAGATAGGAAAGGATGGTCTGTAAAAGAAATCCTTCCTTACCTGTTTATCTCAGCCTTCCTGTAATGCTCTTTGAATACCCTTGTAATAGGCTGAGGCCCAGGGAGATGCAAAGGCTTTGTAATGGGTTGAAGTGAAGCGTGAAGTGAGAAGGTTGAGAAGCATCAGAGGACTCCGCCTGGGGCTGGAAAACCCATGTGCTGACTTGGTGCGTTGTCTTCTCTCTCCCTAGGACTGTCCACAGCTGCTTCAGGCAGAGAAGATCCTGGTGCCGGTGGAAGTGATCAAGCCGATCACATTGAAGGCCAAGAACCTTCCTCAACCACAGTCGGGCCAGAGGGGCTACGAGTGCATCTTGAACATCCAGGGAAATGAGCAGAGGGTGCCCGCCTTGAGGTTCAACAGCTCCAGCGTGCAATGCCAGAACACCTCGGTGAGCAAGCACTGTGTGCCTGGGAGAAATGTAGAGGCTAAGGAGGATTAGGAGTGCCTGCAGCATTGTCCCAATGGCACCTGGGGTTGTGTTGCAGCCCTTTTTATGTTATTGTGTGCACAATTCCAGCCACAGTCAAGGAAAGGCTGGTTGGTAGCTTGCAAACTGTCCTTTTTGCTCTTTAGGCTGGCTGGCGTTACCACACAGTAGTTGATTCTGCCCTTAGATCCCAGCATTTGGCAGTACAAGAAAGATGCTCAGGGGTCTGGAGCATCTCTCTTATGAGGAGAGATTACAGGAGCTGGGCCTTTTTAGTCCAGAGAAGAGCAGACTGAGAAGGGATCTCATCAATGCAGATCAATACCTCAAAGGTGGTGCCAGGAGGATGGTGCCAGGCTCTTTTCAGTGGTGCCCAGTGACAGAACAAAGAGCAATGGCCATAAACTACAACACAGGTTTCACTTCAACATGAGGAAGAACTTCTATACATTAGAGCATTGGAGCATTAGAACAGGCTACCCAGGGGGGTTGTGGAGTCTCCGTCTCTGGAGACATTCAAACCCCACCATGGACGCGTTCCTGTGTAACCTGCTCTGGGTGGCTCTGCCTTGGCAGGGGGTTGGACTGGCTGATCTCCAGAGGTCCCTTCCAACCCTAGTGATTCTGTGATGACCCTTAGGCATTATAGGCCTGTGATAGAATCATTCTACAATTCTATGATTATTATCAGCTTAACCTGCCCATATCCTCAGAGTGCCACATCCTTGTGTGCATTCAGGAGGGTTTCTGAAGGGACAGGTATTTGCATCAACACTGAGAGGTGAAGTTATTCTGTGGGGTTTTGGTGACGGGACATATAAACCCCTATATAAACAGTCTGACTGTGGCCAGCATGTAATGGGTCAAAAGAAGGGTGAAATGCTGAAGGCTTAAGTCAATCTTTCCTCCTGTCACCGATTCACCACATGACCTTTTGTTAGTCTCTTTGCCTCTGCCCTCCTCTGCCCCCCCATCAGCAGTGCAGAATCAGTAACCCTCCTCGAGGAGTCACAAGGGTGGTGTCACTGCAGCAATGACAGTGTTGGGGGCAAACACTGGCATAAAATCACAGACTGGTTTGTGTTGAAGGGACCCTAAAGCTCCTCCAGTTCCAATCCCTGCCAGAGGCAGGGGGACATTCCACTAGAGCAGGTTGCTCCAAGCCCCTCTGGCCTGGAACACGGCCGGGGAGGGGCCAGCCACAGCTTCTCTGGGCACCCTGTGCCAGAGCCTCAGCACCCTCACTGTGAAGAACTTCTTCCTTATCTCCAACCTGAACTTCCCTGGTTTCAGTTTGAACCCATCACCCCTTGTCCTATCACTCCAGTCCCTGATGAAGGCCCCTCTCCAGCATCCTTATAGGCCCCCTTCACACACTGGAAGCTGCTCTGAGGTCTCCACGCAGCTTCTCTTCTCCAGCCCCGATGTTCTCAGCCTGTCTTCATAGAGGAGGCGCTCTATCTACCATGAGTTGTGCATACATGCAAGAGTGGTCTCTCCACGAGATTCATGTCTCCAAGATGTACATTTGATTCATTCTATTGCTGCTACTACGAGATGATTTATTAGTCAAAGAGCTAATTACAGGCTTTAGACACTTCACTGCAGCTCTTCCACTCCATGCTGGGCAGCGCCTGTTAAAATCCGTCACAACATATTCTGCTGCATTAAGCAGCGTGCTGAGGATTACAGGCACTTCACACACTTTATGATCTGTTGCAAACAAGCAGCTTCCCAGCCACATTTCTGCATTTATTTCTTTGTCCCCCTGATTTTCATTACTGGTTAGCGGCCTGTGAGCATCCAGGTTTGATGTTTCGTAGGAATGGATGGCTGGAGAAGTTAAGAAGGCATTACACTTTAAAACAAATTAGGATTTACTTTTACAGTGGTGAAAGATTGTGGCTAAATGGGTATTATATGGATGTGGGTAGAGACTACGTGTCTGTCCAAAGAGTCTTTGCAAGGAAAAGAGCAGCCACCCTTTAGAGACATGAGTTTTCTGGCACACGGAGACATCATCATAAACTAGCTCAGGATGATTTTAAGTAGGGGACTGACAGGTCAGTAGTCCTGAAGGGCTCCTTTCAGCATCTGAGTTTGTGATATCTGATAATACAGCCTGGTTTTGAGAGGTAATGATTACTATTCCCATACTACCCCAATGCTCCAAGAGGCTGCTAGTGCCTAGGAACAGAGAAATGGGCTTCCATGAATCCCCACGTGCATTTGCCTGTGGGATGTCTGAGTGCTCCAGCAGCACCATTTTCACCTTAATGTTTATGTTCCCAAGCCAGGACACTCAAGGCTACTCCTGAGCTACACAGCGTGGCAGGGCTGAGTGTGAGGTTAATGGTGAAGCACTCCATGACCTTGTTGCTGTGTGGTGTCCATAGAATGCCTGTCCCATGTTTGGTGGTAGCTGAAGTGGACCTCTTTCTTCTCCAGGGAGAGATGCTTATTTTGGATCAAATCAACTCTTTTCAGTATTCTGCCTCTCTCCCTCTCTCCACCTCCCATTCTTTTCCCTTCTCTTTTCTTCCCTTTTCTTTCGAAGGCATTTTAACTCTGATTTGAGCTCTTTTCCTTTCTTCCCTGAGAAATGTTATTTCATTGTTGCTCTGAATTTACAGACACTGAGAGAAAGAGATGTGGAAGGGAGAGCCAGACAAAAGAAAGACACATTCACACGCATACAAAAAGGGAACAGAGAAGCCCTGGCTCTGTTTGAGCAGGTGGCAGAGGACACAGACAATAGGGAAGGAGTGCTGTAGATATGTCTCCATCATGATTATTTCCTTCCCTGCCAGAATTAGTGTTCAGACCGGAGCCACTGTGATACAATGAGCCTCTGCTCTGAGGGTCACCTGCCTTTAGAAACAGCCCTATGAGCTTGTTTGTAAATTGAATCAGCCCCTTTCAACAGAGCTTTTTACTCAGCAGAGTTGCTGGATGAGGCACTGAATGTAGCACCTGCATTGCAGGCTTGGAGAAGGTCCAAAGGAGGGTGGGAGGATGTGTTGTGATGGTGTGTCCCTGAAGGGATGCTATCCTGCCAGCAGATCTTTCTGTCGGTGCTGCATGCTAGACTAAGCACTCATTCTTGGCTTGTTTTCCTTCAGAAGCCCCAAGATATCCCCCCTCTCTTCATACACTAGGCACTGGCATGCTCAAATTCGGCTCAACTTCTGCAAAATGCAGGGGTTTTCCTGCTTTCACACACGACAGAATCAGGGAAAAGCCTCAACTCTTGCTTTCTGCTGCCTGGTCCCTGAAGATTTACACCAAGGATCAGAACCATCTTAAGCAGATGCTTTTTTAAGTGGCTCCGACTTCAGTTAAAAGATGCTATAAGGACACCCAGGTGGGACCAGCCTATCTGATGGTGTGTCAGTGGTGTACTACCCAGCGCTAGGTGCTCAGCCAGCTTTATCTCTCCCCCTGTCTTTCCTGGAGATATTTCCTCTGATAACAGTAATAAGTCACCACAGGGCAGCACGCTTCAGGACAATTATTGTTCCTGTCAAGTGGTTTGAGAGTCTCTGGGCTTTGTCCTCTATCACACCACCCAAGGCATGCAATTATCACTCAGAGAGACATTACCTGCCAGTCCTTATTGCACTTATGATAGCTCTGCCGACAGCCTGGACACAGAGTGATGAGAGGAAATGAAAAGGAGGGGAGCTAAGGAGGCATATAAATAAGTAAGTAAAAACATCAGCAGGAGGGGCTGAAATTGCTAGATCTATTAGGGTAGAAAGCAATCTCCACAGTGGGAAACACTGGGAGCCCCAGCATGTGCAATCAGCCCCGTATTAGCTGCCTTTGACATGAGGAAGAGGAAGAAGGGTGAGAGATAGAATCATAGAATAGTTAAGGTTGGAAAGGACCTTAAGATCATCTAGTTCCAACACCTCTGCCATGGGCAGGGACAATTGACCCACCTGACCATGCCATGATCACTACTATTACCTGCTTCAATGACTAAGCCCACATTCTGGCTTGGTATGAGCCTGCCCATTGCCTGGCCTTGGCCCACACAAGCAGCACGCACTGATTTCTAGCAGCAAAACCCCTGTTGATAATTTGCCTCTGGTCTTCTTCTCATTGCCTTCACAGGTCTGCGTGTCGTGAGACCCAAGATGTTACAGCTTAAAGTGCTGTGTAACTTCAGGATAGGAAAAGCAAATATGTTATATCTGTCATATCATTGCACTTGAGCAAAAGATCTCGGTGACATTTGACTCTGTGGTGTGGCTCACACAGTAGAGGGAGTGCTAAAAAACAACCCAACTAAAAACAGAGCTGGGAAAAATGAGGAGCTATTTACAGAGATCATGGCAAAACATCCTTATGGGTGGCCAAAGGGAGACAAACATAGGGTTGTGAGTTGTGCATCCACTTCTCAACTATTATGATGCATCGTCATTAGAATAATAATAATAGTTATTATTATTATTATTTAGCTACATTAAAATGTCACAGAGAAATCCCAAGCGTGATATAGGCTCTATTGTCCTGGATGATGCCCAGACATTAAATTCTGTCCCAGCTCTGAGAAGCAAAAACTCAAGAAGATGGAACAACTGTGGGCAAGAAGTTTTTTACCTACAGTTTATGGCTGGGAAATTGATGCAAAAAGGGATTAAATGATTAGCACAGGCCCACACAAGGAGCTGGTGGCAGAGATATGGGAATCAATCTCCAAGCTCAAGCTTTATTCACTAAAGTGGTGTAAGGAAAACAGACTTCACACTAAAACACTGCTAAAATGCTGTTTGTCTGCAGAGGTTTCCCTGTTTTGGACATGCTTGAGGTACAAAAGGGAAACATCATGTAACTGCTTTTCATTTATTGTCCCAAGTCTGCCCAATCCAAACTACCAAAGGGCTTTACCCAGTGATACAGCGTCCCAGCAGGATGCAGTGAGAGGTGTGGATGTGATGGCTGTGGATCTGCACAATCTGCATGGCTCTGAGGTCCTGAAGCTGAGCTGCTCTAAGGCAGGGTGCCTGTAGTAAATGGGTGCACAAAAGAACCACTAACGACATGGCAAAATGAGGTGATGGGCTCAGCCTGAGTCGCAGGAGACAAAGAACTGGGACTTAGGAGTTCAAAACATTGTTCCTGTGAATTACAACAGCTCCTTCTAGCAGCTTTTTGGCATTTCCTGATAAGAGCCAGCCTGCCTGTCTGGAAAGGCAACCTTTCTCTCTCAGTTTGGGCCTCTAAATTGCCTGTAATTTTCTGCTTTGATTTGACTTGCATAGCAGGAATAGAGATTTGGCAGATTTAGGGGTCAGATTTACCTCTTATGAGAAGTTCTGCCTATGCTGGAGGAAGTTGTGCAAGGCGAGGTAGACAGACAAGTCCTAATGGTAGGAAGGCTCTTAGCAGGAGTATCCGGGAAGCTCTGCTGTCCTGGAGATCGATACGCCATCCCTTTTTTCTTCCCTGAAACATATTTCCTCCTTATTGTTACAGCTGAGTGAATCCTTTTCAAAGCCTCCTATTGAGTTCAGTGGGCTTTGAACGGGGGTCACAATGAGTTAGCAGCTCCTGTGGTCTGAAAAGGATGGAGCATTTACTCGCTGTTGCTTTGCAAATTGCTCCGTTTCGCTGCTGTGCAGCCCATGAGATGTCTGAGGCTGGGCATGGCAGTGTGAGCATCCTCATTCCAGCCCCAGCTGGCTTCATCCCTGGAGCTCGTCCATTGGGATCCCGTTGTTTATTCCCACTCAACCCTTTCCAGTTCTGGATCAAGTCTGCTGAGTTAACAAGTCTAATATGTGTTTGCCCCTGGTGCCACAGACAGATAAGATCTGAAATCCCAGCTGGGCTTATGCTGCTGGCTCTTGGATCCTCAGTGGGATGAAAGGCTCTGGGGGACTCCAGCTGCCTGTCCCTTGGCAGCCTTGTCTAGGCTCTGCTAACAGCTAAATCCCAGTACACACACATGAGGCTCTGCTGAGGCAGAAAGCAGCAGTTTTTCAGGCACCTACAGACTCAGCTTCTTACTTAAGGGTGACCAGTGGTTCTGTACATGTTCTCTTTCCATTCCCAACCAGCATTTGCAAAGTGCTGTGCAAAGCTCAAGTTTCCAAAGCTCCTGAATAACAGAAGATTAATTATTCCCTACTTTTCAGGCTCTCTCCTTCCTACTCCTGTCTTTTCACCCTTGCCCCCAGCTCTGTAAAGCTGTGAAAAGCCAGTGTTTTGAGTCCAAGTGGCTCTGCATCATCTTGCATCTTGCTGGCAGTGTCACCAAGAAGTGTCATAGAGATGCTAATGCTGAATGAGACTGGCGGGTGCAGCCCTATTGCAAAGGGCTCTGCTAACCTGCAGCTGCTCTTTACTTCCATGGTAACCACCAAGCTCATACCCATAAATACCCTACAACCAGATTGTATTCACAGGGTTTTGCAGATTAGTGGTTAATTGCGTTTCGCTTGTCCAAAGAGAAATTACCGTGTAACTAACACTCACTCTGCTTTAATGGACAGAAATAACCATCTACGATTTACTCCCCAGTTATATGGCAATTAATGGATACAGAAAAACCTACTTCTAAAGGCTTAGTGCTTTGATATCTCTGTGGAAAACCTTGCTGAGACTTTAAGTGATGGGGAGCTCTTTAGTGGTGTCTAAGATATATCCAACCAAACCAGTCAGCTTACTGAATTATATGTAACCTTGTAGTGGGGAAAACATCTCTTTCTTTCAAAGTGGGAGTTTGTCCTGCTATAGATCCCAGGACAGTGGGAGATGGCTGATCTCAAGAGGGATTTGTATGTGGATATATATGTCAGTAATAGCAGCAGACCTGAAATGTCTCTCCCTTTCTCGCCTTGTTCCTATCCTGTCCTTTAAGCAACCATCTCAGGCTGTGCCAGGGGAGGTTTAGACTGGAGCTGAGGAACAATTCCTTGCCCAGAGGGTGCTCAGGCATCGGAACAGGCTGCCCAGGGCAGGGCTGGAGTCACCGTCCCTGCAAGTGTTCCCAGCCCGTGGAGCCGAGGCCTCAGTGCCAGGGGTTAGTGGTGGCCTTGGCAGGGCTGGGAATGGTTGGGCTGGATGAGCTTAAAGGGCTTTTCCAGCCTGGCTGATTCTGTGATCTCCTTTCCCATGAAGAGACTTTCTGCCTTTTGGTGAAGTGTTGGATGGAAGCTGTTGGTGGAGGTGGGCTGTGGGACGTGACTGGCAGCTGGGTGAACCCTGTGTGAACGGGTTGATGGTAACTCAAAAGTTAGCCTATAAAATACACTAAGCACCATGTGTGAGGGAGCTCTCTGAGCAGAGAGGGCCTCCAGCGATCAGCTTCCATTTCCTTTGTTAAGGCCAGGTCTGTGTACCTAGACTGTGCCTGACAAGTGTTTGTTTTAGTCTGCTTAACTCTCTCAGAAGATTTCTATGGCTTTCTTAATACATATTTCCTGGAAACCAGATACCCCCTATTCCAGCTGAAGTATTTCTGGTTCTGAGAAGGGAAGAAAAACTGCCTCCTGGGGCTTACATACGTAACAAACTCTCCTACATCCCCAAATGAGATTTGCTTGTTTTTTTGGCAGCAATATGGCATTGTTGATTCACAATCTGTTTGTGATCCTCAGTAGTCTCCAGACCCTTTCCTGCAGCACTGGCCAATCACTCCAATTTCATCTTCGTTAACATTGATTTCTCCCACTAAAGAATAGTCAGGGCTTGCCTATATTGAATTTCACTTTGTTGATTTTGGCCTGGTTCTACCATTTGTCAAGTTAGTTTTGAATTCTTAACCCTGCTTTTGGATGTTCTTGCACCCTCTTCTGGAACAATGCTGTTCATGGAATCTGTACTGTCATCCAAGTCAGTAGTGAAAATACTGACCAATATCAGACCCAGGACGATATTCCATTTAAAACACCCTCCCAGCCTGACACTGAGTTCTTTGACTTTATTTTTGGCATCTTTTGTATATACCTTGTGGTGGCTTCTTTCGATCATATTTCCCTAATTTGTTTATGGGGCTCCCCTGTAGGACAGTAGCAAATACTCTACTGAAATCAAGATAAAGCCCATCTGCTACTTCCCTTTCGTCCACAAAGCCATTAAGCCTGTCAAAAAAGGAAATTAGGTTGGGTTGACACAATTTGTTCTTGACAAATCTGTGCTGGCTGATTTTTATCACCTTATCAACTCGCAGGTGCTTATAAATTGATTGTTTAATAATTTGATGTACTTTCTTGCTGGGAAGCAAAGTTAGGCTGACAGGTCTATAATTACATAGAACCTCCTTTTCCCCCTTTTTAAAGGTATTTCCATGATATGCTTTCTAAGACCTCACTTGTCTACCAGGAGGTGTTCAATGTATCACCATCCCTGGCAGCGTTCAAGACTAGGTTGGATGGGGCATGGAGCATCTGGTCTAGTGGAAGGTGTCCCTGCCCATGGCAGGGGGTTGGAACTGGATGAGCTTTAAGGTTCCTTCCAACCCAAACCATCCTGTGATTGTATGATTCTATGATCACTAGTGTAGATAACTTTACATATACTCTCAGCATCCATGGAGTACACAGCAAAGGTATATGTGGATGGTAGACCCACAGTGCATAATGAACACTTCAGAGGTGCAACCAGGAGTTGGCCTAATACCCTTCAGAGCTGTGCTCAACACCTAGAAGATAGATTTACAAGATAAATCCCATCATATGCACAGATCAACTAGTGCTGTGATGGCACTAGGCATGAGGGCAGGTAGCAGCATACCCCTGGGTCCAGAGAGAGGTAACGGAGCTGGCAAAGGGCCTGGAGCACAAGTGCGATGAGGAAGGGCTTAGGGACCTGGGGGGTTTAGTGTGAAGAAGACAAGGCTCAGGGGGGACCTGATCGCTCTCTGCAACTGCCTGACAGGAGGATGTAATGAGGTGGGGGCTGGTCTCTGCTCTCAAGGAACAAGGGACGGGACAAGAGGAAACAGCCTCAGGCTGTGCCAGGGCAGGTTTAGACTGGAGCTGAGGAACAATTCCTTGCCCAGAGGGTGCTCAGGCATTGGAACAGGCTGCCCAGGGCA